GGCCCCAAAGCGCACTCCCCGCCAACAACTCGCCGTCGCGGGGGGGGGGCGGGCCAGAGCTGCATCGAACCGCACACTCGGATCGGGTCGGACTCGGATCGGATCGCCAACGACTCGTCCAGACTCGAGTCGAAATCGGATCGCCGCGCCTGGCTCGGGCTGGCCTCGATCGGTGCCCGTGAACCGACACGAAGCGAACCCGAATCGGAACTGCGGCCCTGGCCGGCGAATCGAATCGCATCGAATTGGATCGTGGGCGGCCCTGGGGGGTGGGCTGGGCGATGACGGATATGTGGAAGCACGGGGAGGGCGCAGGCGACGAAAGCGCGAGGAGCGCCGCGAAGGCTCCGAAAGCGCGGCAGGGCGACTCCCGTTGGATCACTGTCAGCGTCGACCGCTGGCCAGCACATCGCCCTTGCAGCCTCGCCGCTTCACCGGGTCGCCCCCCCGCACGAGGCAACGACACCTGGAACGATTCCTGATGGTCTGGGGACTGTCGAAGGTTTGGGGGGGTGGGGCCGAAGTCAAATGGAAGTCGCGCCAACCAATGCATCGGTTTCGGTGTCGTTCCGTGAGGAGCGTGACGCGCGTGCGGGCGAGGCGAAACAGCGCGATTTCCTCGCCCGGCAGTGGGCCCGAATCGCTCCAAAAAGCATTGCGGGCCGGCCCTCCGCGGCGTGCCAACGGTTGTCCCGCGGTTGTCACGTGTCTGTCCCGTGGTTGCCCCGTGGTTGCCTCATGGTTGCCTCCTGGTTGCCCGTGGTTGTCCTGCGGAGGTCCCGTCGGAAGATAGATAGATGATCTATGATGACAGAGCGACAAGTCGACTGATAGGTAAGGAGGCCGAACGGTAGGTTGAGAGCGAGGTCGGTAGATACGCGGTGAGACCCGTAGATCGTGATTTCGACCAATAGACTGATGGTAACGTCGGTAAACCGATACTAAAAGCGGTTGATATTTAGATCGGTGCCCCGAGGTTGTCCCGTGGTTGCTCGTGGCTTGCCCACGACTGCCCGGTATGTAGACATAGAGAGACATGATGTGCGACCGATGTGTACCCATAGATGATGGTGATGTTGATGTTGATGATGATGGTGATAATGAAGACGATGATGATGAGGGTGATGACGGTGGTGGTGGTGATGATGCTGCTGATGATGGTGGTGGTGATGCTGCTGCTGCTGCTGATGCTGCTGCTGCTGATGATGCTGATGATGCTGATGCTGATGCTGATGCTGATGCTGATGCTGATGCTGATGATGATGATGATGATGATGATGATAATGATGATGATGATGATGATGATGATGATGATGATGATGATGATGATATCCAACACCGTGCCTCTGGTCACGGAGTGGGCGTGTCCTTACGATATTTGCCTAACCCATGGAGCCTCGGCCCTCAGTCCTGAGGAGTCTTCAGGGTCCCAGACCCCCAGTTCGGACATCTCTTAGGGGCTTCCCGCGTGCCCCCCTGGGCTCCGGGAAGCGTTGTCGCATGCCTTGCTCGGGCCCCGGAGGGCCCCGCGACGCCGCCAACGCGGTGCAAGAGGGCCCCGAGACGCCCAAAGACCGCTCCAAGACGCCCAAGACGGCCTCGAGATGGCCCAGGAGGCCTCCAGGACGTCCAGAGCCTCCAAGGGGCCTCCCATGAGGGACCCAAGAGGCACACGTCACTGATCTTCCTCTGGTGTTTGGACGATGTTGGCGTTCTCGCGTTTTCGGCTTCTCGACGCTCCAAGACGCTTCAAGAGGCCCCAAACTTTGGTGTTTGGGCCCATTTTGGCCTCCTGGGGGGATCGCTAATATGGTTCTCGCCTCTGTGATCGAGCACCTCCAGGACGGCCCCAAGGTGGCCCCCGAGGCTCCCAAGAGTGCCCCAAGAGGCGCCCAGAGGCCCCACGAAGCCTTCGAGCTGTCCCCAGGAGGCTCCCAAGAGATCCCCAAGAGGCCCCAAGAGAGGCACCCAAGATGCTTCAAGAGGCCCGCGGGACGGCCCAGAGGCCCCAAGACGCCCCAAGAGGCCTACAAGAAGCTGCCAAGAGACATCCGAAGAGACCCCGAGAAGCATCCAAGATGCCTCTGGCTTTTTCTGCTCGCCCTCCTCCTCCTCCTCCTCCTCTCCTTCCTCTTCCTCGTCCGCCTACTCCTCCTCCTCCTCCTCCCTCCTCCCTCTTCTTCCTCACCCGTTCCCTCCTCCTCCTCCTCCTCCTCCGATTCCCCCCCCATCCTCCCCCTCTTGGGGTATGACGTCTCACCCAGCTCTTTACTCCACTGCATGCTCCTCCACGTCCCTGATCAAGACAGCTCGTCTGGGCATCGTGTCTGGATGTGCTGGTGGGGCTAAGCGAAGCGATTAGGATTCCCAAACCACTCTGGAAATTCCCAAACCACTCTGGTTAGTTCCAAACCGCTCTCTGGCAGTTCCCATCCTGATAATTCCCAACACACTCTATCACACGTCTCAAACCACTCTGGTAAATCCAAAAAACATGTTTAATAATTCCCTTAGCGCTCTGGCAATTCCTAGCACGCTCTCTGGCAATTTCCAAGCCAAATGGATGATTCCCAAAGCACTCTGTCTCTCACAATTCCGAAACTATTCCCTGGAAATCCCAAACCACTCTGGTAATTCAAAGCCTACTCTCTGGCGAATCCCACTCTGGTAATTCACACTCCCTGGCAATGTCCAAACCAGTCTCTGGTAATTCCCAAATCGCTCTGGCAATTCAAAACCACGCTGGCAATTCCCGAACCACTCTGGCAATGCCCTATCCAATCTCTGGCAATTCCCCAACCACCCTGGCAAATCCCGACGCCGTTCGCCCAGCCCTCGTCTCCATTGACCCCCCTCACGCCCCCCTCTCATCACGAGTATCCCCTCCTTCCTTCCCCACTTCTTATTTATGCTTATCTCCTTCCTACATGCTTCTCTCGCCCCCCCCCCCTCTCCCCTCTCCATTACAGTGAGCTGCTCGCCCTCTCCTATAGCCCCTTCCTGCAAATGCCCTTCCGCATGCGGCCCGGAGGGAAAAAATACGGAGCTCAACAAGGCGGCGCCGGTTGCGACCAGGCTCCCAGGATCGATCGGGGAGACGCGCGGGACGTGAGCATTCTTAATGCAATGGATGCGAATTCCAGCATGCACTGTGTTGTTTTCCGCGGCCTCATGTCACGCATTGCACTTGGCGACGAGTCGTGTCACGGCACCCTGTCTAAATCAACAGGATTTTTGTTTCGACGCTGGCACAAAGCAGCAACACCAGCTCGACACATAGGGAAACAAGCTCAACATCTTCCACTTTTGCATAGAGCAACAACACCCTCTTCGACCCCTACGCGCAGCAAAAAAAAATGTTCGACACCTACACAGAACAGCAACACCTTTTCGACACCTGCACATGACCATAACACGTTTGGCATCATGTTCTTCGACACCTGCGCAATATTCCAAAACGTTTGGGCGAGCATGCATAAATTCAGCACAGCACGTCCCGAATTACATGTACCTGACACTTGCGCCCATAGAAAGCTACAGCATCAACACAGATGCGGGGGAAGACTGATTCATCATGAGCAGGGGGCACCAGCATCCCACTGACTGCGCCGGAAACTTCCACGGTGGCGACGCCGCTTGCCTACTGGCACGACCCAGGGGGATCGCGTTCGGAGGAAGGCGAAAGGAGGAGGGACGCCGCACTCAGGGGGTGTCCTGGGAGGCTGCCAGGGCTGCCCCGAACGTGCGAACGCAGAGCCCGAAATCAAGTTCCGAGAGAACCTCTCCTTGCTCCTTGAGGCGTCTCTCGGGGAGCCCATGGGGCCTCCAAGAAAGTCACTGGGGCATGTTGGGAGCCTCACCCGTTATGATGATTTCCCTAAGGCCCTTTGCGCTCCCTCTTGGGCCCTCTCGTCGCCCTCGTTGGGGCATCTTGGGGCCCTCTTGGGCCGTCTTGGGGGCGTCTTCGGCAAGGCTTGGGGCCTCCCGGGCTGCCATGGGGCCCTCTGAAGATCCTCCTCACGTCCTGGGGCGATCTGAGTCGGAAGCTCGACAGAGCAAGGACACCAAGATCATTGAACGCATTCAAAGATACATTAGGTTTGCCTCGTCAGGCCCTCTTTGGTGTGCTCATGTGGCTCTGTTTTTGGAGGCCCGGAAATTGGCACCAACACCAGCACAGGGGATTGCCTCCACATGGGGAAGATGATCCTAGATTTCGGTGTTGCTGGTAATATTTCGGTCACCTTGGAAGCCAAAATATGACCACCGTCACCGCGATCGGGATCGTCTTCCCTCGGTTGAGGCACACCGCCGATCTTGGTTGTGGTGTCAACCTCTAGGCCTGCGATCTTTGGGTATCTTGGGAGCCTCTCGGGCCGTATTGAGGCCATCGAGGGCCTTTTTGACGTGGTGTAGAGCCGTCTTGGGCAAGTCTTGGCGGCATTGTGGGACTCTTCGCGCCACATCGGGGGGCTGACAGAGCCCCCGAAGTCTTGAAAAGAGCCCGCTGGCCGCAGGGCCAAAAACGAGTCCCAAATGTATGTGTGCACGTGCGGAAGAATGTCCTGCACCTAGGCCTAGGGGCCCGGAAGCCGGTTCTATAACAGAATCGGGGGAAATACCCATACGACTCGTTGCGGGATTCGCGGGCACGGCAGCATGGCCGGGGCGGGTCCTGAATGGGCCACGGTGCGAGCCAGGGTGCGCCACAACAAAGGGACAGGAACTGCGTCAGGGGCGACGGGAGTAAGTGAGGAGTGACGTGCGCCAAGCGCCATAGAAGGTGAAGGCATTCCATCTTGGTTGCAGTCGGTCAGGGAAGGAAGCAGAAGGGGGGACGGAAGGAGGCAATGGGGCACGAAGCGATGAGGTGCGCGGAGCGCAAGCGAAACCGAGACCACCGACTGTATTAATTCGAGCAACCGATGATGCAAACACACCGATGGAAATCGTCATTAGCGCGCTGTTGGCTGATGGTGGCATGGGTTGCACGGAACTGCCGTTGAGAAACACATGTGTTGCCACACGTCGTAACCACCAGGGCAATTGTCAATGTTGTGATGCGGATTCCCGTCCGGCAAAGTAGCATCCGATTCGCACATCTGCCCATTCGTCATTCCGGTGACGCATTCTGGCAGGTTGCAGCCGCCAGTATCGCTTGAACTGCATGGGCAGGCCGAAGACGGCACAGGCTGAAAGCCACAAGCCTGAGCAATTCCGAAGGATCCGGCAAGCTCATGCGACACGTCGTCCAGGAGCTGCCAATCTCACAGGATCTCCCAAACCCGCTCAAGCTCCCGAGTCCTCTGAACCATTCCCAGGCCCTGCCACGCCTCTCCCAAAACAAACACTTTGCCATCCTGTGTTCTTCAGGCCCCTGTGCTGAACAAATCAAAATCTGGCCGAGCAAGGGGACAACGACGAGGAGGGGGAAGTGGAGGAGCAGGAGGAGGACGGGGAGATCGGGCGTGGTCTCGCTGGGCCTGGCCGTGGGCTGGTTACTCGGCACTGGCTGGGCTGGCATGGCTAGAGCTGGGACTGGCTATCTGCACGCCCGGCCTCGCAACTCTTCATTCCGCAATATGTCTGGCGCCTGGGCATCCCCTTTCCTCGTAGCCGTGCGCTCGCTCATTACGGAGCTTCCAAATTCACCTCGTGATCAGGGCCGCGCAATCCACCAGATTATGGTCTCCTCTCTGCGCCATGGATCTCCATGCGGCCAATGCGCACACGACTGCACACACACAGCCAACTCCCAAAGAGTCTGAACAGAACTCGAGAACACAATGCTTTGGACACGAAGATCCGCCACCGTGTCGTATGCACTGGGTGCCTACAGCACGGTGGCGGATCTTCGTCGAAGGTACCCAGGCCCCTTTCGAAATCTCTGCCTCTCGTATGATAGATAGGCCCAGGGCCTGGAGTTCCGAGCGCTCTTAGAGACAGACAATTCCAGGCTAGAGGACGACCCGCTGGGACTGAAAACGTGAAGCGCGGGACCCATAGGTGGGTGGGGGTTCCCGTCGGAGACGTCCTCGCGATTCACTCACAGACGAGACTCCCGATCGAAACGTCCTCAAGATGACTGTGTGGGCATGTGGGTGTGTGACTGAATGTGCATGTGTTGATCATGATGACCGATGACCATGGTGAGCTGATGATAGTGATGACCAGTGGTGATGAGAATGATGGTGGGATGACGAGTGAGGAAGATGTGATGACGATGAAGAATGATGGTGAGTATAGTGTTCAGTGGTGATGATGGGTGAGTGTGCGCGTGTCTGTAAGAGCGTGAGAGTGTGAGTGAGTGCGTGGCTGTGTGCGAGATGATGCTGAAGATGATGATGATGCTGATGATGATGATAATCATGGTGATGGTGGTGAAGATGGTGATGACCATGGTGTGATAGCGAGCCAGTGGGTGGGTGAGTGATGATGATGATGACGGCGGTGACGAAGGTGGTGGGACGGTGATGGGCGGAGGAAAAGGGCGGCGGACGAGTTCTTGCCCGGAGGCTGCGCAGAGAAAACCAAAACACAACATCGGATGTGGGGAATCTATAAGTAATGCAAAAACTAACCCCACAGGAGGGGATTCCCGCTTAAGACTTTCTCGCGATTCACTCAGACAACGATTTCCCGATTGAGACTTCCTCCATGCTCACGCCTGGGGGGGGGGAATCAGCGATGACAGGTACAAGTTTGAAGATACCCACCACCTGGAATTTAGAAAATAAAATGCGGGCCCCATGAAGAGGGGGTTCCCACCTGAATCTTCGCCACGATTGATTCACGCAGGGGGGTCCCGCTTGAGGCTTCCATCTGATTCAGGCCTGACGAGCCCAAGCGTGACGACACTTACACGTTTGACGGTGTTTTTTTTTTTTTTTTTTTTTTTTTTTTTTTTTTTTTTTTTTTTTTTTTTTTTATATTATATATTATATATATATATATATATATTATATATATATACATATATGTATGCATACACATACATATATATATATATAAGAGATATATATGTATGAGAATTAGGAAGCTTGACGTGCGTTCCATGGGGAGCGGTTCCCGCATGAGACTTCCTCGCCATCCACTCACAAACGAGTTTGTTGATCGAAACTTTCTCCATCTCCAAACCTGAGGGACCCAAAAACGACGACACTGACAGGTTTGAGGGCGACCTCGTGGGATTAGCAACGTGACGCACTGGACCCATAAAAGGGTCCAGCTCGGGACATCCTTCGAAGTGAGTGTGTGGGTGGGTGATCTATTGTGAAAATGTGAAGTGGGTGCGCGCGCGTGTGAACAGATGCTGGTGGTGATGATGATGATGGTGACGATCGTGGTGTGATAGCGAATGAATGAGCGGGTGATTGATGAATGAGTGAGTGAGTGACTGAACTGAGTGGGTCAAAGAATGAATAAATGAGTGACACAAAACGGATGCGGATGTGACTGAAACAGGGAAACCGGGGATGGGGTGAGTTCCTGCGCACATGTGGGCCGTAGAGAAAACATGAAGTTCACTGAGAACGTGGGGGATATAAGATGCCAACCAACGTGTGCCAACAATTGTGTGTGTTCTAGCAGTCTGTGTGTGTTGCAATCTATGTGGAACAAAGCGGTGGCGCAGTTTCTGTTGCGCAAATTATGTCTTGTGTCATCTGCGTGGTGCAATTGATCTTGTAAAATAACGAGCCTGCCCCCGGCGCGACCGACGCGGCTGCGGTGGCGCTGACCGCTGGGCAGTTCCCAGCGCGTTTTGCTCGTCGCAGTGACCCTCGGGCGCGTCAGTGCGGGTCGGTGGTTCGGGCGGGCGCGGTGCCATGGCGGCGTCGACAAGGATATACACGATGATGATACTAGCGATGCTGGTGGCGACGATGACGATGATGGTGTCCACGCGTCAAGGATGAAAGTTTGAGATGGATTTCGACATGCGCGCGCGGCCGACGCGAACGAGTCGCCCGCATGGTGCTATTTGACAGAAACGTGCTCCCCAACACACGCGCTTTTGCACTGTAATGATTTCAAGATGCGCGAGCGCGATAGGCACGTCTGGGCGCAGTTGATGACCATGCCGGGAAAAGAAAAACTTACTGCTTCCCTCAAAATTCGCAAGAGAACGCGCGCACACGGATGTGCAAACCCGTGTTGCAAATCCAGTTGTTTTGTTCATGTGTTCAGGACAATTGATTTTGAACACCACACAGAACTGCAATGTTTGAGCGATTTCGGCATGCGCGCGCGGCGACGCGCGCGTGTGCAACTCGTTTTTTTTTTTTTTTTTTTTTTTTTTTTTTTTTTTTTTTTTTTTTTTTTTTTTTTTTTTTTTTTTCTTTCTTTTTGCAAGGGGCTCGTGACAACTGACGGTTCTTGATGAACGAATGCGCGCACATGGTATTATTTGAAAAACATGGCGGGGGGGGGGATCGATAGAATTTGGGCCGGGACGGTGACAATTCGTAAAAAGAAAAACCAATAAGCATAATCATATGCAAACTGTCGCACGCGAGGGCGAGCAGGTAAAGTCTGGCCTCGGTAAGGTGGTGGAATTTGTTATCTTCTGACAAACAAAATCTACGTTGTTCCTTAAATTTGGTGCAACTCGCCCTGCTGAACTGGAAAATGTTAAATCCATTGCTCTCGCCATCATCCCACCCACCCACCGCAGCTTGGTCTGCAAAGCCCATGCGGCGGCGATTGCGGTGACTGCTTGGCGCTGGCTGGCACATCGCTGCGGCCGCGCGAGCGCGTGCAGGCTCGCGCGCAAAGCGGCAATCTAGTCTGGCGCGACCGACGCGGCCGCGGTAGCGATGACCGCGGGCGGCTTCCGACCGCGTCTTGCAGGCCACGCTGACGCGCGGGCACTTCAGTGCGAGTCGGTGGCTCGGGCGGGCGCGGTATCGTGGCGACGCCGACAATGGCAAGCAAGATGATGATAGTAGCGATGCTGGCGACGATGGCGACAATGACCACGGCAGCGCCAATGACGGCGCCGATGCTGATCACGCCGATGACGAAAATGGTGTCCATACGTCGGTGATTGGGAGATGTTCAGAAGTCTCCGACATGCGTGCGCGAGTGGCCCGCATATTATTTGCTATTTTACTCTGTGACAGGGATCGTGCCAGACCCAACACGCACGCAAGGGCGTTCGAATGGTTTCGCCATGCGCACGCGCGAGGCCCGTTTGATGTATGAAACATGTTTACAATTAAATAAAACCGGTGGTTTGCTTCAGACCTCGCATGCGCCCGCGCGCATATTTGTGAACAACTCATGTTGCATGACGATTTTCATTTTTCTTTGTGTTGTGGGGCCACCCGAGTTTGCAATCCCTACGGAACAAAAAAAATCGGTGACAGGTTTTTGACATGCGCGCGCGACGCCGCGAGCGTGGACGTTGTCCGAAGCGTTGCCACAAAATCTGGGCAATTGATGACGTTTGAAACGCGAATGCGCGCACATAATATTTTCAACAAGGATGAGGGGGGCCGATGACGGCCTGGATGGAATGGTGCGAGTCCTCTCTTAGAATGAACGACGGGGACGGGAGCATAATCATATGTAAATTTGATATCCTCAAGGCGGGCGGATCAGTCTCGGGGGGGGGGAACAGGTGGTACATACAAGTGCGTTTAGACAGGGGCATATATATATGTATATGTTGTGCGGCGACGAGAGGACGACGGTGGCGACGTAGCCGCCAGACCGGCAGACACGCCAAAACGACGGGCGGCGACGAGGCGGCGAAAGGGCAATAACTGCGGCACCAGACCTACCCGCAAGACCGGCTGGCAGGCCCAGACGAAGGGCGGCGACGAGGCGGCGACGGGGCGGCGAGAGCGGCAACATAGCTGGCAGACCGTCAGACGGGCCCAGTTCCTTAGAGGAGGAAGAACCCCTAAGTGCAAGCACTGTTTGGGAAAAGTTGTGCGATCGATGTACGATCTACGTTGTGCGGTCTACGTGGTGCAATCTATGCGGTGGAATCCACTTGCCAAACTTGAAGTTGTCAACTTCACTGCTCGCGCAATCATCCCACCCACCCACCCGCAACTTGATTTGCAAAACCCATGCTGGAGCGATTGCGATGAGTGCTGGGTGCTGGATG